GTGCATTGGGTCACATTGTGGGTTTAAGGAATAACCAGATACGACTATTTGCACCTAGTAATATGCAGGCACTTGTTTTAATGTGACCACCTGTTTTCCTCCCCATTCCCTTTTCCTTGCATGCTGTTATTTTTATCTTGTAAGCTTCCAGGCAAGGGAGTGTCCCGATTTATTGATTATATGCAAGCCACCTGGAGCACCTTTTTGCTTGAAGCAGGATGAAAACACGTTTAAAGTGAATATAGAACCATTTAATAGAATGCCTGAGATGGCCTTTCTTGGGTTAAAGCTGGATCTTTTGTCTTTTTACGTAAGGAGAGGGGAGTAACAAGTGTGGATCCCTACATGGATGTTTAGTATTAGAGACAGATTTGATACACAGTGTAGGTCAGCTTTCCACAACCAGGTGGTCTCCAGATGGCCTGGGCTACAACTCCCATAATCCCCAGCCATCATGGCCAGTGTCCTGCTGTCACAGGATGGTAGGGCTGTAGTCTACCCCATCTCAAACCACAGGTTGGGGAAGGCTGGAGTGGGTGATTGTTTAGGATCCTTATAAGTCTGTCTGTTCATTAAGATAAGCAATGGGAGGTTCTCTTTTGAATCCTTCAATTAGAAACATGCTTGATTGGGACCAGGGAATAGTGGAATGGGGTAAACAAACCTATGCTGAAAATAAAAAAATAGGAATTAGTAAGATTATTGTCACCCTCAGTTAAAGGGAACAGACCTTCTAGGCCTGCAGCCTTCCCCAACCTGGTGCCCTCCAGATTTTAACTCCTACCATCTGGGATCTGGAGGTGCTGGCACCTCTTCAGTCCTCTTGGCTTCACAGTAAATCTGAGACTCTTGTATAGGACAAGATAGAAATGCCCTCGATAAATAAATAAATAAATAAATAATTCTACAGGGCATATTTCAGTGGGACTACTCTGCCATAAACAATGTACAGGATACACAGATTGATCAAAAGTGTTATCCTTCCCTTTGGAACTGGCAGGTGGCTGTAACCTAGAGCTGTGTATTTCTTGAGAGCTTCCACCCTATTTGTGGGCAGAGAAATTGTGTGTGTGTGCTTTGTGGGGAACTAGAGGGAAAGGGGTCCAGGAGGAGGAGAAATTATCCAAGTTTCTCAGGGTGCAGCTCACCATTAGCAGTGACAGTAACAGTTTCTTGTCTTTCTTCCATTGTTGTGTTGGTCAGCCTCTTTCCAGGTACTGGAGTACCGTGTGTGTGTGTGTGTGTGTGTGTGTGTGTGTGTGTGTGTGTGTGGATTAGGAGAACAAAGAGGCTGTGGAAAAGCTGAATACATTCCTTTTGTCCTTCCTCATTGCAGAAGATGCAGGACAGATTCCTGTGCCTGAAGTGATGCTTTCAGGAAGGAAGCCTGAAACACTGACAAGACCAAAGATAAGTATTTCAATCTGATGGACAAATGGAAAGTTAAGAAATCAGCAGGCCCAGATGGCCTCCATCCAAGAGTTCTTAAAGAACTCAAAAATGGCACTGCTGATATTTTAACACATGTTCCTAGATCAAACTTTGTACATTGAAAAATAGCCAATGTAACACTTTTTTAAAAAATAGGAGTTAGGGTCCAGGAAATTACAGGTTGGTTAGTTTAATGTGTGTTCTGGGTAAACTGGTTGAAAGTATTATGAAGTATAAAATTAATAAACATATAGAAGAACAGGTGCTGCTGATAAAGAATCAACATGGCTTCAGTTCCACCTTATTAAATCTTTCAGCTCTTTGAGAGTAACAGTAAACATATGGACAGGTGGACTTTGTTTACCTGGAGTTCCAAGTTTTTGGCAAAGTCCTCACCAAAGATTCCTGAGCAAGTAACAGCCATGGAATAAGATGACAGACCCTCTTATGGATCAGTAACTGGTTAAAGAACAGAAAGCAGAGAATAGGAATAGATGGTAATTTTTCCTAACAGAAGAATGTAAACAGTGGTGTTCCATTGTATAAGGACTTATACAGGAAATCATCCATACTGTTGTATTTCCAATCAATATGTATGGGCTTATAATCTCGACAGTTAAGAACACTGACAGGAAGAAAATTGATGTGTTCAAAACATGGTGCTAGAGAAAAGCTTTGTGACTACCTTGGATAAACAGAAGTACAAACCAATGGGTCCAAACTCAAGTCAATCCAGAACACTGCTTGGAAGCAAAAATGACGAAACTGAAGCTGTTGTACTTTGGGCACATCATGAGAAGCCAAGACTCACTGGAAAAGATAATCATGGGGAAAGTCAAAGGCAGAAGAAGAAAAGGAGAACCAAATCTGAGATGTTTTGATTCCATAAAGGAAACTACAGCCTTAAGCTGAGCGGTGCAGTGAAGGAAAGGACGCTTCATAGGGTTCCCACATACTGGAGACAATTGGAGAACACGTAAGGACAAAAAAATAATCTGGAGTTAGGAGCGTGCAGTGAAGTGGCCAAGTCTGCTGATGACACCAAATTATTTAGGGTTGTTAAAAAGGGATCGTGGGGCGCTCCAAAAGGATTTCTTCAAATGGGCAGCGGGCATCAAAATAGCGCATTTGCTTCAATGTAAACAAATGTAAAGTGATGCATACTGAGGCAAAGAGGCCCAACTCCAAGCACAAATTGATGGGATTGGAGGTACTGGTGATCGATCAAGAAAGAGATTATGGGGTTGTGGTGGACAGCTTGATGGAAAAGGTGAACTCCACATTAGGAATCATTAGGGAAGGAATTGAAAACTCCCAAAAGCATACTGGCTTTACACGAATCTATGTGCAATGTTCTAGTGTGGTTCTGATCAGCACACTTAGAAAGGATTATTGTGGGGCTGGAAAAAGTGCAGGGAAGGACAATTAAAATGAACACATCCCCTATGAGGAAAGGTTAAACATCTGAGATTGTTCAGAAATAGAAAATAGTTGAGAAAGGGGATACATGATAGAGGTGTTCCAAATTCTGCATGTTGTGGAGAAAGTGAATGGGGAGAAATTTTTATCTCTGTTGTCCAGAGGGATTATCTCTTGAAGCTGATGGAGATTCAGAGCAGATAAAAACAAGGACTTCTTCCCACAGCATAAACTATGGCATTCCTTTCTACAAGATGCAGTGGCCACCAATGTGGATGACTTTAAAAGGGATGGGATTAATTAATGGCGGATAAAGCTACTAGCCCTGATGGCTTTGTACTGCCCCAGTAGGCACACCATGTTTATATAAACCACTTGCTGGGAAACATGGGTGGAGGGCCCCCTGGTTGTGGGTTTCCTGTGAGGAGCTGGTTAGCCACTGTGTGAATGGAATGCCAAAATAGATGGCCCTTTTGTTTGGTGTTTATGTTTATATATAAAGCAGCAGAAGGTAAGGTATAGAAGATTCTTATGTGATGAAGCAGCTGCCACAAAACAAAATGGTAGGAAAAATTTTGCAAAGTCACCTTTTCCTACCCAGAGCAAGCAAAATAACACTTGAAAAGGAATTTTCTCAGAGAAATGCATTTGGAAAAATTTCAGCTCAGTGTTAGCCAGGAGAGAATCTGATGTTCCCATCCTCGCCTTCAAAATCGAAGATTCCCCCACTCGCCACACACCGATGCCACATAGATAAAATGCTCTCATTTTATCTAACAAGAGAAAAGGGAAAGACGGTGTCCCTTTAAGGGAAGATACCAACAGCCCTCCATCCTTTAGTGGAGAGGGGTGGGAAAGATCCTACCATCCCATTTCAACCTTAGTGTGTCTGCAGCAGCCACAGAAGCATGTCCCCCACGGCGTGGTGGCGAGAAGGGGGGGAGCTAACAAAAGGTGTCCCCAACCTTCCTCACGTTGCAAAATAACAACCCACTGTGTATGACGAGCGCGGGGGAGGTTTTCCTTTTTCTCTGCTTTAAGAAAGGCAGAGGCATCAGAAGATTCCATTGTTATTTTATTTATTTTTAAAGGTGGTGGCGGGGGGGAGATTGCCCAACATCTAATTACAGGAAGAAAAACCCAATATGAGAAATGCACACAATTCCAGCGGGGAAGCCGGCAGGAAGACCTCTGGGTGACAGTCACGGTAGGTATTTTGCAGAGGGAAAGGCAGCAAGCAGGGGGCAGCAGCGCGGGCTGCTGCGGGGTGGGAGAACAGGGGAGGAGAGCGGCCTACTGTGCACCACCCGCAAACGGTCCTCAGCTCCCGCGGGGATGAGGATGCGCGCACGAAGCAGCCGCGGCTGGGAGATGCGCTGCTGCGCAAAGGTCGCCGCCGCCGTTTCTGCACGAGTCCTTTTTTCGCGAGACGAACGCCACGCGCTCCGGGTCCATCACTTGCAGGAGCTGCCTGGCGATGCTGCATGCGCGTGGGGTCGCGTTTCTTGCGCGCGGGAAGTCAAAGCAGCGTGCGCATCTACCTCCCCTCCCCCCCCCCATCCCGGCCTATTCTGAAAGTGACTCTCTTCGTGAACTGGCTCCCGTTGCCGCGCGAGCGAGCTTTTGCTTTTGGTGGTGGGGGAAGAAATCCGCAAGCCCCACGGTGGAAGCCGCGTCTTGGAGATGCATCGCGATCACCATTCCCCAAATAAAACAATAAATGCAAGCCGGAGGAAAATAAACGAGTAAACAAAATGAAATGCACCCCCTGTTGCTGTCGTTTGCCGCAACGTTCCTTGTAGGGCGTGCGTGCGTGCATGCATGCATAGATGCATACATACATGTACGAAAGCCAATGAACGCTTAGCGGACTTCAGGGTTGCTCTTGCTGTGCAAGCAAGCCAGCCCGCCTAACTTTGCGCAAAAGAGAGGGGGGAACCCCAACAACGAGGCGCCGGCTCTGAGGAGAGCAGCCAATGAGAAGCGGCGGGCGCGCTTCGCATAGGGAAGAGAAGGCGGAGTCCCGCTCTCCTCCCCATAGGAGCCAATCAGGAGGCGCGGAGTGGGGGCGACTTCGGTGTGCCTGTGCGCGTGCGCCTGTCAGAGGAGGTGCGCGCGCTTGGCCCAGAAGGGGGTGTGTCAGCGAACCCGGGAGAAGTAAGGGGGGAAGGGAGCCTGATAATGGCGGCCAGGAGGAGAGAGCGCCGCGGCGGCTCTGAGGTAAAAACCAGCACCACCAACAGCAAAATACGTCACGTTCGGGCCTCAACTGCAAGTCCCAAGTGGAAGCTTTGGGTCGGGGCGTGAGAACGGCGTCCGAAGCACCGAGGACGCCTCATGACAGGTCCTCTGGGCAGAGTTCGGAGCTTTGGGCGCCCCGGTGGCTTGGGCCTGAGGAGACCCAAGTCGAGCGGCCTGGCTCTTGGAGGCTGTCCGTCGGTTTGAGGCCTGGTAGGCTTCGCTGCTGCTGCAGCCGCCGCCTCTCCTCAGTCCCTGACAGCCTGTGTGTTGCCGTGACAGGATATTTCTGGCCAAACAGGAATTAGTTTGCGTGTCTGAAGGGCCTGTTCACACGTTACTGGCACTAAAGCTGAGTTGATAAGACTGTTGTTATCTTGCTTCGGGAGCAGGAGGAGGTCTCGAAGCCATCCGGCCTGCCGGTCTTTTCTCGTTGCTGTTAACCGAGGCTGAAAAGCAGCGGCCGAAGCGCTTCCCACAGCACGGAATTAGAACACGAGCCCTGTTCGCGGCTGCAGGTTCAAGGACTGTCAACTGCAGCTGGCCGCCGAGTGTGAGCTCGGTTGAGCGGTCAGCGGTTTCTTGCTCAGTCTTCTGTATCTTTGTCTTCATTCTGTGGATCTGAGCAGGTGATAGTGTTCACCCCATGCTGCAATAAGCTTCACTTGATGGGTTCTGCGGAGCAAGTTACTGTGGGCTGTTGGGTTTGTTTGTTTTCCTGCCAGTCCTATCAGCAGGGAGCCCTGGCCAATCCCGATTCTCTGATTGTTAAGTCCATGTGTTACGTACTCGTATTTTATACTATTCACATCTGCTGGGGTCTGTTGAAGACTCCAAAATGCAGATTGGTAGCTGCAGTTTTGTGCATATTTAAGTGAGGGAGATTGCCCCTTTAAGCTTACATAAGATTGTACTATTGGTGGGAAGCAGTGACATATCTGCACAACTTTCAGTGTCTGCAAGAGGAATGGGTTTTTGTATCGCTCACTTGTAATGTACAAATGACACAAGTTAGACTCCTGGTGGTCCTCCACAGAACTCAAGGTGGAGGAACCTTGACTTCTTCCATCTGGCTGTTTTGGCTGGATAAACTTTGCTCAGGTTATGTGGAAGAGCTGTTTCTCACAGAAGTTCAGAAAATATGGTTTGTTGTATTGTCCTGCTAGAGAATCTGCCTCTAATCTCTTTTCTTTCCTTTATTTATTATTAGGATATTTTTACCCCATCCAATATGAGTTGTCTCTGGATGGCTTACAATATAATAAATACCTAATAAATACATCAAACCATGACAAGATAGATCCTCAGTTGCATTTTATCAATAATAACATAATTAAAATATTTAAACTTTAAAATATTGGGTAAATAGAAAGGTCTTGACCTGGTGCCGAAAAGCATATAATGTCAGCGCCAGGTGAACCTCTCTGGGGAGCCCATTCCACAGCCAGGGCACCACCACAGAGAAAGCCCTCCTCTGAGTGTTCTCTCTCCTAACCTCCTTCAAGGAGGGTTCCCAGAGCAGGGCCTCTGCTGCAGAGCTTAAGGGGCAGGAGGGCATATAGGGAAAAGATGTTCCTTCAAGTATCCTAATATTGTTATCTAGCTATCTAGTTCTAGAATGTCCAGAATCTGTTAAGAGCATGAGTAGGAAAGGTGATATTCTTCCAGCCAAATAGGTAAAAATCTGGACAGTGTTTTAGACTACATATGCAACAATTCCTGGTATACACAATTAGCAAATAGTTGCAATTCACTGGTATGAAATAGGTGATAGGGAAAAGGCAAGATGATAAGGGGTCAGAGTGAATAGGAACAGAGCTGCTATCCTGATCGCACAGTTGCTATCCATATACACTGATTATGGATTTCAATGACATTGCCTCTGAGTTATAAATTTACAAGGATTACCTGGGAGTTATCTAATATTATCCCCTCTTCAGCTTGTTTATGGAGATCCTGTATCTACTATATAATAGTTGTTTACTATTCTCCAAGATCTTTTCCTTGGAGAAGATCCAGCATCTTGTTTGAATGCTAAGAACTGGTTGCATAGTGAGCTTTTTCTAGGGTATAGATTAAAAGGTACCTTTATGATGAATACAGTTTATTCATTGCTGTCATTATCACAGAAAAGTTATGGTGCCTATTCCCATACCTGTATGAAAGTTTTGTCTTTTAATAACTATTTGGTAGTTCCTTGCATCTTTGTGTGTCTCACTTTAGTATTTGAATGTTGTTTCTGAATAGTAGCAGTTACTCTGTTATAGCAAAAACAACAAAAGCTTCCATGTATTCCTGAGGACTAATTAGACATAGCTGGAATTACTACGTGGGCAGTAGCCACCATTGTCAGAAAAAGCATTGTAAAGTGGCACAGCAACTGAGAGAGTTGCATAATGGGGGTAAAGTGGACATCTACAGCATGTGTTTAATGTTCTTATGTAATTCCTTTCTGTGCAAAAAGGGCCCTCAAGATGGTTCCAAAATTAAAACATAAACAGCTACAAAAATAAGATAGACATAATATAGAAATGCCAAACATTTGGCACCAGCAATAAAAGCAGCAACTACTATGTAATGCTTTTTCTAGCAATGGTAGCTGTTGGTCATGTAGTAATTTCAGATTAAATGTGATGTTTCATAAGGAATACGTATATCCTTATATCCCACTTCTGCACTTATATATTTGTTCAGATAACCTGGTCTCAACCTTTTTAAGTTTTAAAGGTAACATCCAGCGTAGAAATAAATACCCTCCCTTTTGCCTTTGCACTCGCACAAATAAGCTATACGTGTCTTAATTGTGTTTAAGTTTTTGTGTTCATTTTTTATAGATACCTTGAAGATGGTGAGTAGCCAGCCCAAGTACGATCTAATACGGGAGGTGGGTCGTGGCAGCTACGGTGTGGTGTATGAAGCTGTGGTGAGGAAAACCTCTGCACGTGTTGCAGTTAAGAAGATTCGGTGCCATGCTCCAGAGAATGTGGAACTAGCCTTACGTGAATTTTGGGCACTTAGCAGCATCAAGAGCCAACATCCAAACGTTATTCATCTGGAGGAATGCATCTTACAAAAAGATGGCATGGTGCAGAAGATGTCCCATGGTTCTAGCTCCTCTCTTTATTTACAGGTAAATTTACAAGTCTCTAGGTAGTGTAACAGGCATTTTGGGTTGGAGGTAAATGGGGGTGGAGCAGATAAGGACAACTATTAAATCATATAGCCAGAAAGAGGAGGCTGGATACATGAATACTACTCAGTGCTCTTAAATGTTTGAATTACATTTGCATCTCTATATTTGCTGCAGTTTTAAAATACCATCGATGGTTTAGCCATATCATCCTGTGAGGTAGTATGAACCTTTAGAGAACTCACACAAAGCAGTTATAGCAGACATGTCCATGTTGTCAGCAGAGCAATCTTTAGATTGTGAATACAGTTCAGTTTGAATTATTTTACTAAAAGTTGACCATGCTTAAAAGAAGAACTAGGTGTATAAGCAACTTCTGGAAAGTATGTTGCTACTCAAAAGGAAAAGGTCTTCCAAACATTAAATTAAGTACCAATTTTTGTGCCACAGCAACATTGCAGATCATTATTCTGACATATAGAAATGTCAATGGCTTTGTAGGAAGGAGTGCTGCCAGGTTCATTCTGGAGGAAGATGGAGTAATAATAATTTTCATAGCCTTTGCAAAGGCCCTCTTTGAAAAGTCATCACTGTCTCAGAAAATGATATAATTTCATCAATTTTAATAATATTTATTGTCCTGCTCCTTGAATGCAAGTCCAGTATTTCCAAAGAGCATATGGTTGGGTTGTGCAGCAGCACTTTAAAAAGAAAACCAAGAATAAAAATTCAGTAAAATAATAAACTATACTCTCTTTTAATTTTTTTTTCTGTAGGTCAAGTCAATTTGGATTTAAAGGAGCACAAGGGGGGAGAGGCAAGGATATTGTGGAGAAGTTGAATAAATTATTTTCATCAGTTTTCACAGTATAAGATGCAGAGCAGATACCTGTCCCTGAACTTATAGTGTTCTGGAATGTAGTCTGAGGAATTAGGGCAGATAATAGTGATAAAATATGAAATTCTCAACCTTATTGACAAACTGAAAGCCAGCAAGTCACCTAAGTCCTGGTGGTATCCATCCTAGAGTTATCAAAGAACACAAGTATGAAATTGCTTACCTTCTTATGAAAATACTTAACATGTCCCTTAATTTAGCCCTTGTACCAGAGGATAGGCCAATGTAACACAATTTTTTAAAGGGAGTTCTAGGGCGATCTGGGAAATTACAGGCCAGTTCCTGTTCCTGTAAACTCTTTGAAGGCAGGATTAAAGATAGAATCAGTAAGCATATAATGGGAGAAGCCCTGCTGAAAAAAATTCAGAATGGCTTCTGCAAGGGGAAGTCTTGTCTCTCTAACCCAGGGGTCAGCAACCCGTGGCTCCAGAGCCGCACGTGGCTCTTGAACCCCTCTGCTGTGGCTCCTTCATTCAAAACATGCACCGGCCCAGCCGACGGCCGCTGATCTGCTTGAAGCTCCACTCAGGAACTCAGCATTAGCTAATTAAGTAAATCAGCTAGTTAAGTAAATCCCTATTCCTCTGCTAAACAAGCTTCCTGCAGGCTGTCATGTTACACAAAGGATTCTCTTTGTCCCAGTGTAATCTCCTTCATCTGAATGTTAAAACACACCTATATCTCCAGCACAGCCTTCGATCTGTGGACCCACGCTGATTTACTGAACACATGGGTAGATTCATTTGCTTTTACTGCTGATGAACTTATGGGGTTTGCTGTTTAATGCATGCAGCCCTTTAGCACTGACTTTGACTCTCCAGGAAGCTGTTCTCCTATTCAAAATATATGAAAGGAGTCCTACTAATGTAAGATTAAAAATAACAGTTTTTAGTGACTGAACAAGAGCTGCAGCTAAATCATAATGAAGATATGCATAGCATTAAGGTAAAAAACAATATATGCAGTGTTATCTTTAGATGTCAAAAGGGTTTTGTGGCTCCCGGTGTTTTCTTTTGTGTGGGAAATGGGTCCAAATGGCTCTTTGAGTGTTAAAGGTTGCCAACCCCTGCACTAACCTATTGGAGTTCTTTGAGAGTGCCAGTAAGCTTGTAGACAGTAGCGATCCAGTATGCATTGTTTACTTGGACTTCTAAAAGGCTTTTCACAAAGTTCCTCATCAAAGGCTCCTGAGCAAACTGAGCAGTCATGCAATGAAACAGCAGTCCTGTTATGGATCACTAAGTGGTTAACAAAGAGAAGGTAGAAGGTGGGAATAAATGGTAATTTCTTTCAATAGAGAGATGTCACCAGTTGAGTCCCACAGGATTCTGTATTAGGACAATGCTTTTGAACATATTCATATATGATCTGGAATTAAGAGTAGGTAGGGAATTAGCCAAGTTTGCTGATGACACTAAACTTTTTAGGTAATTAAAACCAAAAGGGATTGTGAGGAGCTCCAAAGGGATCTCTCCAAGCTGGGAGAAAGGGTATCAGAATGGCAAATACATTTGCCAGAAAAGTAAATACTTGCTCAATATAAGCAAGTGTACAGTAATGCATGTTGGGGCAAAAAAAATCCCAACTTTAAGTATACACTAGCAGTGACTGAGCAAAAAAGGGATATGGGGTAGTGATGGACAGCTCAGTGAAAATGTTAGCTCAGTGTTCAGCTGCTGTGAAACTGGCAAACTACATGCTAGGCATAATTAGGGATGGAATACAAAATGGAACTGCCAAAATCTTACTTCCCTTATACAAATCTTTGGTACAACCACACTTGGAATATTGTGTTCCTTTCTGGTGACCTTACCAGAAAAAGGGCATTATTCAGTTGGAAAAAGTACAGAAAGGGCAACAGAAATGATCAGGGAACTGGATCAGCTCCCCCATGAGGAACATTGACAACAATTAGGACTGTCCAGCTTAGAAAAAAAGGTGACTAAGAGGAGACATGACAGAAGTGTTTAAAATAATGAATGATGGGGAGAAAGTACGGAGGGAGGGAGGGGTTTTTGTTTGTGTTTTTTTGCCTTTCCCATATTGCTTGTACTTGGGGTCATCCCATGAAGCTGACTGGTGGGAGTTTTAGAACAGATAAAAGGAAGTTCTTCATATAGCATATAGCTGACCTATGGAATTTGCTGCCATGAGAAGTGGTGATGACTGCCAATCTGGATGACTTTAAAAAGGAATTAGACAGATTCATGCAGGAGGAAGCTATCAGTGGCTACAAGACCTGCTGGCTATGTGCTACCTCCTGTACCAATTGGTAAATGCCTGCATTTACCAATTGCTGAGGAGCTTTGCCAGGAGAAGGTCTTGCACCCAACCTGCTTGAGGGAACCTGGTTTGCTACTATGTGAATGGAGTGTTGAACTAGATGGATCTTGGGTCTCAAATAGCATGGATTTTATTAAGTTCTCATTTTTCTAATGTAAACTCTGATTGCCTCCACCCTGCCCCCCCCCCCCCCCACATAATCTAACATGGAGAGAAGGAAATGTTGAGGTGGGGAACATGTCGTGTAGATTGGAGGGGCAGGGTGGTGGTGGGGAGCTGCTCAGCAATTCATGTTTCATGCATTGCTGAGGAATAGTCAGTAAATTGGTTGCACTTTAAAAAAAAAACCTTGAGAACAAAAGCAAGAGCCTGTGTGTGTGTGTGTGTTGGTAGCTATACATTGTTAGCCTGATGGCACTCATCCATTTTTTGTAAGCTGCCCGGAGAGCCCACAGGTAATCGGGTAGCATACAACTCAGCTGAACTCAACTCAACAATGAATAAATGAATGATGAACGAATAAATAAATAAATAAATAAATCTGTACAGATGGAGGAGAATGTATATTCAGTGTTCCATTAGGTAAACTCCATTAGCAAAGGACAAGTGAAGCTTTAGCAAGAAATTAGTAAAACTTAGAATATAGCCGCTTCTTTCAGTCATACCAATCCATTGCTAAGGAAACTTAACTGGTTTATTGTGCCCTTTGTAGATAAACTAGAGTTTGCAGTCAGCCAGCAAAGCAAGCTAGAAATGTAAGCCTTGTCTTGAAATGGGGTTGTAAGCCATAGTTACAGCCAGGATTTCCTAAATTTCCTGTGCCATAGAAACTGACAGTCTGAACAGATTGAAAATTGAAAGCGGGCAAGCAGTTCCAAACCATGATTTGTCTGCATGTTGGAGGGTCAAATTTTCCTTGAATTCTAAACTGGTTAGTGCAAAACAATTTAGTATATCTGAATTGAGCCTGTGTTTTTATGAAAAATGTTGGTTAAGTGGGTGAGATGATTGCGATAGATGTGTGCTGCCTGAGTGTGTTTGAAAATATTGCTTATCAAAGAAGAAAATTAGGAGAGTGATCACAATAGAAAGTTTTTTTAAATAATTCACACATTTTTCTTTAAAAATGTAGCTCTTGGTATCCTTTTAAACAATGACTGTTTACTTACTTGAAACATGTTTGCTGAACTTGTATATCAAATCTCTTCTCATTATAGCTTGTAGAGACCTCCTTGAAAGGTGAAATTGCCTTTGATCCCAGAAGCGCCTACTATCTTTGGTTTGTGATGGATTTCTGTGATGGAGGTGACATGAATGAATATCTCCTATCCCGAAAGCCCAGCCGTAAGACCAACACCAGCTTTATGCTTCAGCTCAGCAGTGCCCTGGCTTTCTTGCACAAGAATCAGATCATTCACCGTGACCTCAAGCCTGATAACATATTGATTTCTCAAAGCAGGATGGATGCTAGTGACTTAGAACCCACTTTGAAAGTAGCTGATTTTGGGCTGAGTAAGGTTTGCTCGGCTTCAGGACAAAACCCCGAAGAGCCTGTGAACGTAAATAAATGTTTTCTTTCTACTGCTTGTGGCACAGACTTCTACATGGCTCCTGAAGTTTGGGAAGGTCACTACACTGCCAAAGCAGACATCTTTGCATTGGGAATTATTATCTGGGCAATGTTGGAAAGGATCACTTTCATAGACACAGAGACAAAGAAAGAACTGTTGGGGAGCTATGTTAAGCAAGGGACTGAAATTGTGCCTGTTGGTGAGGCATTGCTGGAAAATCCGAAAATGGAACTACTCATTCCTGTTAAAAAAAAGACAATGAATGCTCGTATGAAACAGCTGATTAAGGAAATGCTTGCTGCTAACCCACAAGACCGCCCAGATGCTTTTGAATTAGAACTCCGGTTAGTCAAAATTGCTTTTAAAGACAGCAGCTGGGACACGTGACCTCTGGAGGACTTTTCCCTTGTAGTAGAATTGTGTCTGTAACAATGGTGCAACATTTTGTGGAAGCAAAAACCAGACTAACCCAAATTCAAGGTGTCAGGGTTCAGTGTCTTTTTCCATTGCATTTCTCTAGATTTTTGTAAACTACGCTGAAGATGGCCATTCTTTCAGTACCCATATGTGTATATTTCCAAGCTACAGCTGTAACGCTATCCACCTGGCCAGGAAAATTGACAAGTTAGGTGATTGCTTTCTAGGAATACATTATGGAATTTCAAACATTCCAGTTTCCTATTGCAGAATTTGGAATGCCCATGGAACAGAAGATTTGCATGCTGGTAATGCAAATCATTCTACTTTGTAGAGTAAACATGTATATATTTATGTCAGTATGGGTGACTTGACTCCCCTCCCCCACTTTCCATATGGACAAAATATCCCCATTATTTATAGTGTCTCTCATAGGTTTGGATGACAATGGCTCATCCATGTATTCCCCAGCATATAATCATTCTCCACTTTTTTTTCCTTAAAGAAAAAAGGTGATGGCACAAAATGTGATGATGCAAAGGGAACCTGTGATTCAAGCACTGAGCTACTTTGGGAAAATCCCTTAGATTGGATGACTGCAATAAATAGTCTGATGGCACATTCCAGCACTCATGTGCCAGCACCTTGGTCAGGTCATTAAACATTCAGCTTCATTTTTCTAGGACAATGGAGTGTGCATTTGATAGACCAGTCACTTGCTAACCATTTTTGCATTTCATACTGCATTTGATATCCATTGTTACCTTTAATGCTTACTTAATTAACTTCATGTTTTTGAAAAGTAAATCATAGGGGAGAAAAAAATCCCTGCCTGGTTCTGCTGAAAACTTTATTGTCCAGAACTTGTGTTGGCCTGGTATGGAGGATAGTCATATTAATTACTGCCCTCATTTTTAGTAGAGGTTCTTCAAGTCACTTGTTTGTGGTGATCTTGAGGATGAGATACTTGTCTTGTTTGCTTGCTTGCAGGGAAAGGGGTCTGAAAGTTTTGTGATTCATCCAACTATTCAGATTCTTTTTGTGTTCAAAAATACTGCTAATTTGGGGATAGGGTTTCCTCTGCAGAAAGGAATAGGCTTTTTCTTTTGATCTGGTTTGTTCATAAATTTTGGTTTGCAGATGGAGAACGCTCAGCACAATCCTGCTTACACAATGTTCAGAGAACAGGATGCAGAAGGGACTCATCCAGAGGACAATATAGCCCTCTCCTCTCCTACATGCCAGCTTAGTCCCCATCACTACTGTTTTCCATGTGCACTAGATCATGGCTAGTTCATTTACTCCTGAAATGAGGCCTTCCTTTTCCAACCCTTATCCTGAACCATTCAGTAATCTGCTTTTCCTTTCCAATCTGCTGGTGTGCAGGCTAATACCACTTTGCACCTTGCTCTCCATGCACAGGGTGAAAATGGATCCACACTTTATTTTGCTTTAATATATTGGGCTTGATAACAGATAGGAATTAAAACTGATTCAAGAGTAAATAGAGAATTTCCATAGGGAAAGTGGAAGAATGTGTACATGTTCATTTAGTCATTGAAAACAGCTTTGTTTGGGTTGATATTGTTCTAATGCCATCAGCTACAGTCTAGTACACAGCAAATGAATTGACCTTTGTTTTCTCATAAAACACACGTGTCGGTTTATTCCTAAGTTAGTATGCCCATGCTAAGCAAGATACCTTTCAAATTAAAATACATCCCTGGATTGAAAAATGGATATCCCTTTGCTTAAAATCCAGTTATCAGTCATGCAGTTCTGTCTTATAAATGTTAGTGTGGAAGCAAGTCTCATGGTGTTCAGTGGGACTTAACTTCTAGGTAAGTGAACCTAGGAGTACAGTCGTAACTATATATAAAGCCTCTGGAAAATTTTCAAGTTGAAAATCTTGTCTAAAGTAATATTTGAGGAAATGTCACAAAAGCAACTTGAGATTTCACTGAGGTGCACTTGGGGAAAATTCCAGTTGGTGTCTATTGCATATCTCTGTCTGTCTGGCTTCCAGTATGATGCTATATTGTGTAAGCTGAGGATCTAATTAATGTCTGTCCTCTGGCTGCAAAGGATAGCTTAACTTTCTGTGCAGTTGCAGTGTAAATGATAAGTCTCTTTACTCTTTAAAGCACCACCTGTGCCTTTAGAGACAAGATTATATGGCAGGTAGGAAGGCAGTCCTAGGGATCTTGTATAGTGCTGCTCTGCCACCCATCAGCAGCACACTTTCTAACATGTGTTTCAAACAAAAGAGCACGGACATGAGCTACAGGGGCTTGGCAGTCTATGAGAACTAGAAAAAGCATGAACTCACTCATCTGTGTCCTAAGTAGTCTGATTACTGTGTACAAATTTTTGGCACTTGCAGTTATTGGCATATCCAGAGTTTGGATACATTATTGCATGTGCTTCTTAAATGGGAAAACTACAAATAGAGCAAATTTATATATATGCATTTACACACACCACATTGTAAAACAATGCCCAAAGTGCACTGGTTTCTTGTTGGGGAGGCTTCCCCAGGTGACCTCCATGGTGCTTAGCCCATTGGCATTGAATGCTAACTTGATTGTTCCATTAATTATCCACTGAATAATTGTCCCTGAAATTTGTGTGTGTGTGTGTGTGTGTGACTTTTGTTGTTGCTTGTGTTTGGCTTTGGGTTCCTGTAAAATCTCTGAAATCAAAACTATTGTAGCAGCTACAAAACAATCCACCAGCGTAACACAGAAGTTGAGATACTCATCAGCACTTAACAGAAAGAAAGCAAATTTTCAAAGCTTTTCCTTATAAATTGCAAAATCTATTTTGTGAAGAATTTATTAAAAAGGATGGGGGGAATGATTGTGTAATTTATTGAGTTCATGACTTTTTTAAAAAATAAAGTCTGAATTGAAAGAGTCCTTGAATTTAAAGATATGCCTTTTTGTTGTTCTGAACAGCTAAATATGTTCATTTCCTCTTTATGGAGTAGGTTGATTTCATGTGATACAAAATTACATTTGGGTGACCCTACCTTTGGGTGATATCAGGGTGGATACTTCATTGGGTGCAGGGGAGCTCAGTATGAGTATTTTTTAGGGATAAATTAATATTGTCCATCTGCACCACATTATGAGAATCAGGTCCTGTGCTGGAGCCTTTTGTCAGCCTGTTTGATCAACTGGCTGTGGTTGATCTCCTATATCACAAATATTTAGAGCCAAATACTGGTGGTATTGGCTGTTCTGAAACCTTTTTATCAATCACGTGAATGGAGCTTGCAATGCCCTGAGAGCCTCTGAAAAAATCAGTGTTTTTGTATATGAACTTAGTAGAATTTATAAAGTGATAAAGGCATAACATTGCTCACCCCTTATGAAATCTAAAACAAATAGTTTCAATCAAGGCTACAGGGAGGGAGGGAGGGAGGCAATTTGTCCGCTAGCAGCTTCTTCCCTGCTTTTTGCATGCTTCATACATGCAGGGCAGGAGCTGCTCTGTGTGGCTTTGAAAACTACTCCTCCTCTTCCTTGTTTGACTCATTTGCTTTCTTTGCGAATTTCAAACAGCGCTCTTCCCTCTGCAACAGCCAATCCGGTCTTTCAGTCTGAAATTGCAGTTATAACAGACGGTTACACTGTGTGGTTAGTTAGATAAACTTTGTCTAAAGGGAAGTGGGGACCGCGCCTTTTGGCGTGTCGCCATTCTAAAAGTCACACAGTGTTTCTCAGGACTGTCTGGTTCAAAATCCATGTCTGGGTCTCTGCCAGATTGGCCATTCTCACTAGATGTCATGGTTCACATGTTCATTTGTGCTTTAAACTATTTGACACTCTAGATTTTTGAAAAAGACCGTTGTCTTTCTTTTTGTTTGTGTGTAGGTAGGCAGCAGAGGCAGGGAAACAGCCAAGGGTCTTGTTAGACAAAGGGGTAAGCTAGTTGCGACAGGAGATCGGGATGAGAATTCTGTTCAGGTTTTTTTTTTTCCTTTTTGTTCAGTTTGCAAGCTTCTTCATAAATAAGACTGAAAGGACTTGTAATCTTAAAAAAAGTGAATGCACAAGAAACAGAAACTGGATGCATTCAGTCAGGTTCAGGGCTTTGAGTGCTCATGATTAAAAGGCTTTGAATCTCTGTATATTTCCTGCATTCAGTGATCTGCTTGAAAAGTGCATTGGGGGGTGGGGTTGTTTACAGATCAAATGACCTTGCTCATTTTTTAAGTAACTATATTCTTACGGGGCTACACCAACTTTTTTCCTGACAGGCTGCTTACTCTTAACAGCTACATGACAGGCAAGTACAACATAGTGTTTCCTGTACTGGAAATAGTTTTATTGATTGAATTTGGCCAGTGCAGGTGAGTGAGAATTTTGTTTTTTGTAAGAATTTGCTAACCTTCACAGATTTATTCAAATACAACAAAGAAAGAACTTAAGACTTAAGCAACTGAAATGCAGGGGAAGTGAAACGGCACATTTGTCCATCCTTAGTGCTTTGTTTATGTATTTTATTCACATTTCTGCCTCACTCACAAGATACGGAGCCTAGCTTTTAAACAAAAAGGTACACAGGTAAAGGAATCTGACTCAGTAAATAAACCCTTATCCCTTTCTCATGTCTGTGTGCTCTACTTCAGGAGCGCATAATTAATTTACTGCTTTTCAACCCAAATGGTTCTCAAAGGTGGTTTGCAGTGATCAGAATGCTAATGATTGTCACTCTAATGACAATGCCCTCACATCAGCAGATCTGATGCTGTTGCCAATATCCAGAGAGATTATTGTGTGACTTCGCATTTTTATTGTGTCATTAAATCATTCAAGAAGCTCCACAAATATTCTCTGCTTGTAAGACAAATCAGAATTATTATCCCCTTATGCCGAGAGGTGTAATGAATAGACTCAGTGGCTTGTCTGAGGCTGCCTAACAAGTCTCTAGCTGTTTTAGGGTTTGAATCATGGACCTCCTAGCTCACAGCCTTAACACTAACTGTTTTTAGGACCAATGTCAAGTGTTGGCAGCTGTTAAGGGCCCTCCTCCCAAAAAAGAGCAGGAAATGTTTCTGGGCTCTGTGAAAAGGCCTACACTTCAAAAAAACAAAAAACAAAACAAAAAAAAAAAACAAAACAGGCAGGTGAAGTGGTTTGCTGATTAACAGTGCAATCAAGTGCATGTTTTTTCACAAGGAAATCTCACTTGAGGTCAATGGGTCTTCCTTCCATATGAGTGCATAGGATCAGCACCTTAATTTGTTCAGTTGAGGCAAAAGCGAACTCTCCCAGCAGGCATAGGAGGAGGACAGCAGAGTTATGTTTTCATAATTTTTATATTCATAAATAGCAGCTTCAGCAGAGATTGCAAGACTATCTAAACCCAGGAGAATGGTGGGGAATGAAACCAGCATGTATGGCCACTAGGTGGCACACTCCCTATAAATTTCCTTCAAGCTGTCCAGGCCAGCCTTTCCCAACCCGGAGACCTCCAGAGCTGGCTGAGGGCTTCTGGGAGTTGTAGTTCAACACCTGGCAGGCACCAGGTTGGAATAGGTTGGTCCTGAGCGTTTTCTTCCCTACTTGCACCAATTTGTACCTGACAGTAATGGTACTTGCGGGCAGAAGGCTCCCAGTGCTTGCTACCAAACATTTTGAAAGTGTCATGCAACAGTTCTGCCTTGTTCTTCCTAATGGATTTTTAGTTATTTATTTTTGTGAGAGTTAAAAATGCAGAAGCATTGCTTGGAAAACACCGGAACGATGCCCTTCATTTCCAGATAGAATTTTTATTGTGTAAACACCCTACCACAAACACAGCATTTGCGGGGAGTGGGGAGTACATTGTCTCCGGTTTGTAACACTCCCATGTTTTCTTCCACCTCCTCCATCCTAGAAAATTATCTTGCTTTTGGCCAGTTTTGAGTTCTTGGGCATGTTGTATTGAGAGTCAGTGGGGTGTACTGGTTAAGAGCATGGGGTTGGGACTCAGGTGATCTGGGATCTTGTTCCCACCCCACCATGGAGCTAACTGGGAGACTTTGGGCCAGTCACAGACTCTTAGCCCAACCTACCTCACAGGGTTGTTGTTGTGGGCAGAAGACTGAGAGCAGGAGGAAGAGAATGATGTAAGCCACCTTGAGTTCCTTGGAAAGAAATATTGTTTGGTGGGATATGAATATAAGATAAAATTATAGAGAAGCTTTCAAGGTCTGCGAGCTAATTTAGACACACACACCCCAGGCCACACTCCCACTCTTTGCCATCAAAATTTGGCAATGCAGCAATGGGGATAGGAAAAATCAAGTGACTTGCGGCTAAAAGACAACAGTAGAAGAACTATCTATTTAATTTGTATTACAGCAAAACAGGCCCTTCCTCCCATGACCGCATGCTAAATTTCAGCAGCAAATCAACTTGTTTTTGCTGCAGCGTTTTCCACTGCAGCAAATTGGCCTTGGCATGGGGAAATGGGGCAGCACAGATGGACCACATGGCCACATGCCTGCTATGGGACAAGCCAAATGAAAATCCTCTGTAATGTTGTTCTACGATGACCATTTTAAAAGGTCGCACACACCCTTCAGCCTTGTGTCTTTTGTTTTTGTACAACAATGGAGTGTGGGAACAGGCTGTAGGACCGACACAGAGGGACTATGTGGCTGGCCTTTCCCTGTTCTGTGGGGAAAGCCAATCAAAGCGAAAAGGAGGAAACGGTGCCATGCCAGCTCACAGCACGCTTGCAGGTATGTTGTTTGGAAAATAGTCTTGGAATAAAATAGATGGCCCTGCCATTCATCTTCAGCACTGTCCAGGGACACAAAGGCCGGAATGCAACCTTCCTGTGTTCTACGTATTAGGATAGGAGGAGATTGGCACTCTGCCTTCTGGCTCCAGGAAGGTACCCATAGGGAGCCAAGCCTTTCTAGTCAGCCTGACCAGTCGTGAAGCCAGGAGACTCCTGGAGACCACAAAATCTGGAAGGCCACTGTTTGTGCACCCCACTTTAGCTGGCCATGGGGCAAATCCAGTTCCAAAAGACATTATTTGAGTGGAGAGCCAGCTGTAAAACTCCACTAATTCAGTTTTGAGCACCCTTGCAATTCCCTTCTTCCTCCCACATTGAAATCAAGAGAAACTGTTTTCAGCAAAAACTGGATTGTCAGTGCCTTGACTGGCTGGTTATTGTGTCCATTGCAAAGCCAACTGACCTCAGAAACTTTTGATAAAAAGAGCATGCTGAACACAGACATGTACAGAATATGCATGCCAGCTGCTCAAAAACAAAAAGCTGGCTCCTCTCCCTGCGGTTGGCAGGCATGGGGGGCAGGTGTCCAGAGCCCCACCAAGGAGGGGCCCACTAACAAGAGCCCCCGGACCTGCTTCTCCTTACCCTGTGGCCGCTCACTTGTTCCCCAGCCTGTAGCTCTGGCTGGTGAGACGGAGATGTGGGAGAGGCTGCAGCCCGTTTGCTCCCAGGTTCTCTGCCTTTCATACCAGCAGGTGGAAATATGCGAGGAGAAAGAGGCTGAGCAGCGGCAGCACCTGGTGACAGTGGCAGCGAGAAGATAGTCCTCTGAAGGGCACTGAACACCCACAGCCAGCACTGCCCTTCCGTGAGTGTGCTAAGAACTCAGGGCCTGATCCAGGGACCGCCTTGCAGCCCTCCCCCAATCTGGGGCCCTCCAGATGTCTTGGATTACCCTTCCTGCTAGGCTGCTTGGAGTCCAGCTGGGATAGGTTCAGACTTGGCATCACTGCGATTAGAGGGGTACCTGCAGCAGGAGCCAGCTGGGGCTTCGCAAAGGACCACAACAGGGCACCTGAGCCTGCAGGCTAGATGTTGCTCACCTGTGTGATCTCTAAGATGCACAGAGGGATGTAGGAGTGCTGACTGGATCCACCAATCCAGGTGAGGCGGTGGCTGTGCTGAA